GCATATGAAAAGATATTTATCATTTGTCTTTAGAGGAATGCAAATCAAAACAATAACAACACAGTACTACATGCCCATTAGAAGAACTAAAATACAAAAATCTGCTAGTACCAATTGCTGGCCAAGACACAATGCAAGAACTTCCATTCATTGCCCATGAGAATGCAAAATAGTTCAGCCACTTTGGAAGACAATTAGGCAGTTTCTTACAAAGCTAAGCAGTCTAACCAAGCAGCAATCATGTTATTTACCCAAGTAAGTTGAAAACTATATCCATATATAAACCTGTGCACTAATGTTTACAGCAGGTTTATTAGTAATCATAAAAACTGGAGAAAATCAAGGTAACTAGTGAAGAGATTAACAAATGGTGGTGTGATGGTTAGTTCTGATTGTCAACTTGACACAACCCAGAATCACTGAGAAGAGTGCCTCAGGTGAGGAATGTCTACATTAGGTCAGCCTATTGGTGTATCTATGGGAGGTTGTCTTAGTTAAGTAAATTGGTGTAGGAAGACCCAGCTTTCTGTGGGAGACACCACTCCCTAGGCAGGGGGCCTGTGAACTGATACAAAAATTCTACTAGAAAACTTCTAGAAATGATCAATACTTTCAGCAAAGTGACAGGATACAAAAATCAATTTACAAAAATCAGTAGCCTTTCTATAAACAAGCATGCTGAGAAGGACATCTTGGAAACACTCCCCTTCATAACAATTGCAAAGAAGTATCTAGGAATAAACCTAACCAAGGGGATAAAAGGCTCTACAATTAAAACTTTAAGTCTCTGAAGAAAGAGATAGGGGAAGACACTAGAAAGACCTCCTATCTTCATAGATTGGTAGAATTAAAACTGTGGAAACAACATTCTATCAAAAGCAGTTTGCAGAATCAATGCAATCCCAATCAAAACTCCCATGACATTTTTCACATAAATAGAAAAGAAACCTAAAATTCATTTGCAAACACAAAATATCCTGGATATCCAAAGCAATCCTGAGCAAAACGAACAATGCTAGAGGGACTACCATACCAGATTTCATGCTGTATTACAGAGCTATAGCCATAAAAACATCATGATACCAGCACAAAAACAGACATATAGATCAATGGAACAAAATAGAAAACACAAACATGAGTGCACCTAATTAGTCATCTGATATTTGACAAAGAAGCCAAAAATACACACTGGAGGAAACACAGCATCTTCAACAGAAGGTTCTGGGAAAAACTGGGTCTCCACATGTAGAAGGATGAAATTAGATCCATATCTGCCACCCTGTATAAAAGTCAACTCCAAGTGGATCAAAGACCTCAGTGTGAAACCTGAAATGCTGAAACTGCTGGAAGAAGACATCGACAGCGCCCTGCAGGACATGGATGCAGGAAAGGACTTTGACTAGAACACCATTTGCTCAGAATTAAGACAACTGACAAATAGGGCCTCATTAAACTACAAGCTTCTGAACAGCAAAGGAAACCCACAGAGTGGGAGAGAATTTTTGACAGCTATATATCTGATAGAGGATTAATATCCAGAATATACAAAGAATTCAAAACAAAAGGAATCAAGAAAACAAATGACTGAATTTTAAAAATAGGCTAAGATCTCAAAAGAGTCCTCAAAAGAAATAAAAATGGCTAAGAAATATCTTTAAAAGTGCTCAACATCCTTAGGATTAGAAAAATGCAAATTAAAACTACTTTACAATTTCATCTTACCCCAGGTCAGCATGAGTAAGATCAAGAAAACAACTGACAATAACTGCTGGCAAGGATGAGGGGAAGGGAAACCCTCATTCACTGCTGGTTGGAAGGCAGACTGGTGCAGCCACTGTGGAAATCAGTGTGGAGAATTCTCAGAAAGCTAAAAGAAGATCAACCATATGAACCAGCTACACCCAAAGGTCTTGAGACCCTACTGCAGAGGTACTGCCTCAGCCGTGTTTACTGCCATCTTTTCACAACAGCCAGGAAATGGAAACAACTTAAATGTCCCTCAACTGAAGACTAGATAGATAATGGAAATGTGGCACATATATACAATGAAGTCTAATCATCTCTAAAGAACAATGAAATCATGAATGTGCAGATAAATAGATGGAACTGGAAAACATGATATTGAATGAGGTAACCCAAATCCAGAAAGACAAATGCTACATGTTCTCTTTTACATGTGATCCTAGCTCTGAATCTTTAGATGTGGGTTCATAACCTGAAGTAACCGCAGAGGCCAGGTAAGTAGAAAGGGGCCATGGAGGGAAGGGGAAGAAACAGCTTCAGAGAGGGGGATAGTAGGACACAGGGGCTCTCAAGGGGGAATGGGAAAATGGAGGAGGGCTTTAAATGGAGAAGAAGGATGGAGGGCAATACAGAGAGGGGAAGGAGGGAGAGATTAGCAACAATAAGGATGTCTACAAAAGCCACAGAGAAACATGTTATTTTATAAGCTTACTTAAATATATATGATATATATGTATATTACATATGCTGAGAGAGACCAGGTACCTAATAAAAACCCAGTGTTAGGCATCAGACGTGAGGAAATCTCCCCTGAGTTGTTGGCCAGGGTAGTCCAAAACTCCCAAAACGATACAGGCTATTACCATAGCCCTTGGTTGCCTCCCAGAATTTAAAAGGTGAGATCCTACTGCTGACAATATAGGACTTGGAAGAATCAAGCTGGAACTGACCAGAAAGCTTCCTCCCTGAGGACTAGTTCTCATAGTACTGGAAGGTATGCAAGCTGCCAAGGGAGAAAAGCAATCAATAGTCCAACCTAGCTGTGGAGCTTATGAACCACAATTACCAGCCCAGTAAGATATCTCTAATGGTGCATAGTGGCACTTTTAGCTTGGGATTAACCATTAGCTGTCTAGTTGGACTTAAGACCCACTCAATAAGAGGAAATCCATGCCTGGTACCATAAACCTAGCCAACTATCAGTGGCTGGAGACATCATAGATTCTAGAAGAGAACCCACTACTGCCATTTTCCTAAACCAATGCAATTTCTAACTACATCCTAAACACTTAATATTTATGCCCACAGATAAG